TTTTTTTTTTTTTTTTTTTGAGACGGAGTCTCGCTCCGGAGTGCAGTGGTGCAATCTCGGCTCATTGCAACCTCCACCTCCTAGGTTCAAGCAGTTCGCTGCCTCAGCCTCCTGAGTAGCTGGGATTACAGGCGTGCACCACCACCAGCTAATTTTTGTATTTTTAGTAGAGAAGAGGCTTCACCATCTTGGCCAGGCTGGTCTTGAACTCTTGACCTTGTGATCCATCGGCGTTGGCCTCCCAAAGTGCTGGGATTACAGATGTGAACCACCGTGCCTGGCTTGATTTTCTGACTCTTTAAGCTTATGTTATTGCTATCAAATGACAAAGTTAGATAGATACAGATAGAGAGATGATAGATAGATAGATAGATGGATAGATAGATAGATAGATAGATAGACAGATAGATAACCCTAGTTCAATCTCCTCAAAAGGGGAAATCTGATGGACAGTCAACTCCCATTATCTCTGCATGGGTGGCAGATTGGATCCCTTTGAGTCCAGCATGCTCTCCTAGTCTGATGTCTGTAGCTGTAGGGACAGATGAACGTGATACTTCTACAGCTATCTATAACACTATCTAGGTATCCTTCCTCATCTGGCCTATCGGGTCTGGGAAAGAGCTAAGGAAGTGGCAGGTGCCATGGTGGAGCCATTCTGGCCACTCCTTCAGCTACATTTGTCAATCTGAATCTTAGTTTAACCATCTCCTGCGTTCACCGCTTATATGATGTCATCAGCACTTGCAGGTCAAAGGTGGCTCTGCCTTCTCTTCACTCTCGTTTTGCCCTCTTCACCTCTTCCCATCCATATCTCAGAAGTAAGAGTACAGCGCAGAGGCCTTGCTGACATCTAATAAGCATGGGCTAATGAATCAAAAAAAGCCACAGCCACCTGCTCCCTGGGTCTTAAGGGAAAATGTAGAGATTGAGCTGAATACGTGGTCATTCCCTGTCCTATTAATCTCCCCAGCTCCTCTGTGGGTTGTGCTCTCTGCTCCACTGGGGTGACACAAACATGACAGATGGCACTCTCATGGACAAGGAGTTTATATATTTTGCTATAAAACTCTTATAAATCACTCATATATTCTGGGTAGAATCACCGTGACACAAGAGAGATAAATGTTATTTAATACATGTGAACAGTTGAAATTTGTGAACCGTAAGAGCATAGAGTCATATATATCAGTGAATCATAAATATAGATTTCATTTTGAGGTTTTGATATAGACATACAGTATGAATAAACAAAGTTTATGACTTTGTAGAAAATAAAGGTTTCTTGTATGGTGGAGGAATAAATATTTAATAATCAGTAAATTGAAGAATTTACAAACTTCATGCATCAAAATCATTTTAACAATTTAAAATGTAGACTATGATAATCTAAGAAAGAATTATAGCTATCAAAGGACAAAACAAGCATGTATGGGTTTATCAATAAATCCATAGGTTAAAAGGAAGCTGTTAAGATAAATAAAGAGATAACCAAGGGGAAAACATTAGCATTAGAATGCCGTCCAACCTAGGCTAGAAGGAAAACACATGAAGAGGTACAGACAAGATCAAGAATGTGATCTTACGCTTATCACACTGGGAATGCAATGTCAGTCTTCAGCAAACTAGTCATATGGAAATCTTGTATCTTTGTATACTAGAGGAAGAATTATAAGCTCTTCTACTTTTTCTTTTTGTTTTTTTTTTTTTACTTTTTTTCTTATTACAAATTATACATATTCATCACAGAACACACAGATATGTCAAAAGAAGGATAAAAGGCCATCTGCGGTCATCTATAGTTCAGAAATATACTTAGATCATAATCATAATCTTTTAAAAAATTTAATGACATACTGTGAAAATTATTCAATAAAATTATAAATTATTCTGTAATGTATTAAAAGCCAATAATAGCTTCAAAGATTATTTCGAGCTGAAGTAAACCCTAGGTTACTTAGTTTTACCTTTATAACAATCCCTTCATAATCTCCCCAAATAATTGAGAGTCCTTTTCTTGACCACTTCATTGACCTGAATCAAAATCTCCAAATCATCAATTTGCCAGAAAATTCTTTCAGTTTCCGAAAGCTTTAACTTTGAGAAGCCTTTCACTATCCTGAGTTTTGCCCACCCTTATTTTCTCTCCAGAACAGCACTGGGTTTCGGGTCCACTTCAACTTATTCCCATCTTCTGGCATCATAACTACGACTACATCAGGGTGACTTTACTATACAAGCGTTTTCAATCTGTAAAATTAGCCTAGTAGGATTTATCCTACATTCCTCATAGAGTTGTTTAAAAAATCAAGAAAGAAAATGTTTATGAAAATGACAATACATTTGAAGCCTTATATGAATAATACACATATTTCCTCTTTTACCTTTACTGTTTGAAAATGTTATCATTTTCACCTCAGTTCCTGCTCCAAGATGCCTAATTCTCTCTTGCATTTCTTATAAATTATAATATTCAGAATCATCATCTTATCAACTCCTTTGGATACATGCCAGTTTGTGAATGTCTCCTGTAAAAAGTGCCACGCTGAACTAAGCAGGATGATCCTGATGTGGCTGAATAAGTGGAAAATAAAATGATGGTTCTGTCACGAATCTGCCTGGCTGTCCGCTAGTGTGCATGCTGAGATGCAAGAGTTTTTATTATTACCAACGTCTAGGTCATTTATAAAGGATTTAAGAGATGTCTTCGAAAAACTCTTCTAAAGGTAGTAAAATGACCAAAAGACTAAATGTAGAAGAATAAACACTGATGATTTATTTTCCCTTAACCACACAACTGGTTGGGTATAGGAGATGTCCTTTAAATCATCCAGTTTTGCTCTTCCTTAACTGAAGGACAGAGGGCTTGAATTATTATCTAAAATGAAGTTTAAGATATATCTGTGACTTTAAGTCATCCACGATTTCACTTACACTGTCTTTTCAGTGATATGAAGAGCTGTAATGAGCCCTGAAAACAACAAGCAGAAAATATAATGGTTTTATCAGTCACTGTTTCTCTCTTTTCTAGAAAGGCAATTCTAAGGCAAATTATTGGTAACTTATCTGAAAATATCATGACCTGTTCTGAAGTAACATAAATGACTATTTACCAAGTTGGACAGATGATTTCATGAATTGTTAGCTCTTCTGTGAAAAGGCAGGCAGGAATGAGAGTCAGCTGTGTTAACCCTTTGCTTTCCTTTGAGTAGAAGAGTTGGTATGAATAAATGGGGCAGTCATCCACTCTCCCAGCTCTAGTGGCTGTCTGCCTTCAGCAAGTCACTTTATCATTCCTCCACTCTGTTTCTCCATCTGGAAAATCTGGAATATCATGCCTATAACTCCTTTTTTTCTAAGACTGTCAAGATCTTCAGAAGAACTACACTCTACACATTCAAAGATTTATGACAGTATTTTTTTTTTAGCTGCCTACCTAAAGAAAGGGAATGAACTGGAGTTGTTAAAGTAATAAGGATATGCCAGTTGAGGTTAGACTGTGGTTAGCAGGAACCAACAGCTAAATGTGGTTTTGTTTTGTATTTCCTTTGTCAATTTCAGCTGATTTCAGGCTGACCCATTCTGAAAATAAGGCTGCATTTCACAATTCCTGGAATGTGCCCACGTAAGAAAAGAAGGCAGGTAGTCTGTTTGGTGATAATATATTTCAAGAGCTAATTGTTATTTCCTGTGAATTTGCAACACAACGTTCTGTGAGTTGAGTTGGAACTAGAATATCAAATACCAAATAGTATACAAGAGGAATAACACTACAAAAAAATTTCAAGTCAAAAATCAAAACAGAGCTCAGAGATTTCAGAAGCAATGGCTTCCTGTCAAGAATAACTGTCATTAAAATTTCCATAAGCACCAGTGAAATTGATTTTGGGGGAAAGTCTAAGGGAGGGTCTGTTTTATAAGACACAGTGAGACTTTATTTTATTCTGAATTTCCCCAGCCAAGTTTGTAAGATCTCAGATTTTTCTTGGGCCCTTTCCCTGCCAAGGGGCCAAAGGTTTATCTCTATTGACACATACAGAGAAAAAAATTTCATCCAGGGACCTCTATCAGCAGAGTCTGAATAGTCTTCTTTGGCTAGTGAATCACATTAAGGGAGTCTCAGTCCTGCGATGATCAGTGGCGAGAAGTTCAAAAAATAATAAAAAGAGCAAGCACGCAGGCATCACAGTACGCTTCTGATATAATGCACCAAACCCATGAAGCACAAGAATTGGTCTGGCGTCATTGTTTTATGTTCTCTGGATGTTGAAGAGTCTGATTTGCATTAGAAACCTCTGCATTCAATAAACAAAAATCAGGATAATAATGACCAAAGTACTATTTGGAACAGAAAACAAACTCAAGCAATGAGTGTTTTGCACTGAATTCATTCAAGATTTTATTAGTTAAGCTCTCACTTAGGTTATTAGGCTCAGCTTGCTTTTTATTTCACTGGCCTCAGTTATTGCAAACAAAAGGAGCCTGGTGTGTGTGTGTGTGTGTGTGTGTGTGTGTGTGTGTAAGCGCACGTGTATGTGTGTGTGTGACAATGTCAGACATATCACACACAGGCTTTCTACATTCTTCACATTGCAAATCCATCAACGAAAGGAAGATCTGAAGGGAATGAGTATTTTTGTTTTTGCTTTTTTTTTCTGGTTTAGGGGATGGAGGGAGAATTTCTCCACATAAACAAGAAGGTTAGAATTGGAAGTCTGCTAAAAAAAATGTTAGAGCTGACCACAGGGTTGTAAATCCACTGACTGGAAGGAGGAAAAGAGAAACATTGCAAGCGACTGAAGTGTGTGGTGTGGCTGCAATGTTTGTGGGTTAGATGAGAAACAAGCGCTGAGTGAAACAGAGAAGGGGGGTGGCTGGTGTGATTTGTTTGGTGTTCAGAGCCAATAGAAATCCCAGACTGTGATAATATCCCCATGCAGCGCCGAGAGGATTCAGAGCTAAGTCTCCGGGCTCCTTTCACATCTGCAGGAGCAGCCAGCCTGGGACCGCGCGGCGCGGGGCGCGCTCTCGCCTCTCCTGCACCCTCGGCCGGCGCGCTTCTCTTATGGGCGTCTGCTGCAGGCGGGCTGCGGTGGAACTGAAGGCGGCGGCGGGAGACCAAACTTAGACCCCGCTGAGCGCTAGAGAACTCAGAGAAGGCAGAGGGAGAGGGAGAGAGAGAGAGAGAAGGGACCCGAGGAGGAGGCTTCCGTCACGTCATTGCAGGTACGCAGCTTGTCACGACTAACGTGACACAGACAAGGTTTCTGATTTCTACCTTCACTAGGCACTTGGAATGAATTGACGTGGTTTGTTCCGTGGCCGGTCAGGACGGAAAGCCCCGAGTGAAGGTCTCGCCGGTTTCACCCCGGGTAATTCAAGCTGTTGGCGTGTGTTTTGGGGCCACAAGGTTTATTCACCTATTGAATGATGCGGGGGTGTAAAATAAGGACCTTCAAACTTGACCGTGATCGCTCTTTCTTTCTCTTTTAAATAACATCCATACCAATATGTTGTCATACCGCCAATAGATACCTCTTGGTGACTGCCATTCTAACTATGCCTATAGCGAGGCAAACACCACCCGATTGTTAGAAAGCGGGCTGTGAACCTCTCCCACCTACCTATCAGGTTAATATCCACCCTACAGGAATAAGAACCACAGCGGACTTCGGCAGAGTTCTGATGTTTTAAAAACATATGGCCAAGGTGCACTCGCCTCATGAGTGAAATATCACTACTATCACTATCCTGTGGTTGAAGAAGAGAGAAGGGAGGTAGATATTTTTTAATGTGATTGTCAGTGATCCTGTGTACCTGACTTATTTCTACATTGTCTTACGAGTTGAAAAATGCATTTGTATTCTGCACGCCAGGAAGGATCAGTTCCAGGATCTCATGTATTACTACATTAAAAAGTCATGAATTGGAACTATCTAGTAGATGTGATAGTTGTAAGAAAATATTGATGTTTGATTTTATTTTATTTGATCCTAAAACTCATAGACTTCTATTTCTTTTTCTTTTTTTTTTTTTTTAATTTTGAGGTGTGGGTTTTGTTTAAAAAAAATCTATTTCCTAAGATTTTATCAGGTTTGGTTCGAAATTTTAAAGATGGTTATATAACTTCCCCCTCCCCCGCCCCGTTGATTACTTGTGATTAAATTAGCATTGCTTAATGAGTTCAGTTTTTCCTGGGAAAAGCCAGAGGGGACCGCATGAAGTCTCAGTTAAAAAATCGGTCTTGCTTTGCAGTCTTCAAGGGCTGGCTGGTATTCATGTGGCTTTGAATCCCTATGAAGAACGCTTTTTCTGCAGTGGAACAGATTGGAACTCCAGTACAGCCAGAGAATGGCTCTGCAGCCGGTGCAGGGGCAATCAAATACCTTACCTTCTGTCTAAGTAACACTCTTCCCGGTGGAGTCTTAGTCGATCACATCCAAACCATTCACTGATAATTTGCAATCGACTCACCATTCAGCAGTGCTTAGTTTTCAAGGTAGCCCTTGTCCCAAGACATGTGCCCGGCCAAGGAAGATAAGGAAGTTATAAGAAAGGTATTTGTGTTGTATATCACAGTGGAGAATTTATGTCGACCTTTTTTGTTTGTTTGTTTTTTATTTCTTATCAGATGAACATGTTCTTTCTGTCATTAAAGGAAATGCATGCTTAGCTCTCCCATGGAGTCAGGAAAACTTCATAGTTTTTGCCCATTGACTGATCTGAATGATTTTATAGAGTGTTTTTTGAAATCCTGTCAAAGTATAGACATGGCAAGTGAATACTATGTTTAGGAGAAGGCATTTGATTTTATAGATGAATACTTTTTTCCTTTTACGTCAGAAAGAAACTGTAAATAATTTAGCTGTTCAAATAAATATAAGTTAATCGACCCAACTACATTCTATCAGTAAAGGGTTGTTTTGTATGATTGTGAGTATTTGTCAATCTTTTATAAATAGAATAGATGCAATAGGTTGGAATCTATTTCCCTCTTACCTTTCTAACTCTAAAGCAATGTTGGGCGTGTTGGTAGCAACTTTATGAGTGTGAGACTGATTATATTCACTTTGTATAGACTAGGAGACACTGAAGGCTTTTCAAAGATAAATATAAACAATGCTGTGATTATTCATTGTTTTGTGCTATCATTCTTCATTGAGAGAGGTAATCAACAGTTCATGAATCTTACTAGAGCCAGCCAGAGCTTTACATACCCTCGAGTTATAAGTTTGGTAAAGTTTAAACAAGGTACATGTCTTTAAATCTCTTTAAAGTAAACACCCCTTTTTCTAATGCAAAGGAATGGTATTAGACTCTCAGTTCTTATTGATATGGAGAGGACTGGCCTGTCTGGGTCAAGGGCAGACACTGAGAGACTGCAGAGGCGCAGGCATATGACAGATTAGTTCAGTCACTGCTGTACTTCAGTGTTCCTACAGCAAATTGCTCCTGTGCGATGTGCCAGGTTGCAGGCGTGTTCTCAGTATCAGGGCCCTTCAACTATCTAGGGAAAAAAAAAGAATTATTTCAACCAGGGAAAACATGCCCAGCATTGGGCTTAAATGGGTCACATAAAGCACCCACAAGAAAGACATTGTTTTGAAGGACAAGGTGTTCAGTGAAAAATTAGAGCTATGGTGCCATCCACTTCTTGGATTAGCTGCTTCTTGATAGTTCTTTTGTTTCTAATAATATTCGGTATAATAGATCTAATCATGTCTGGAATTAATTTTGATCACATGTCAGGCTAAAATGTGGTCCTCAGACTCAACACTGACCAATGACTTCAGCAGATTTCCTATCACCACCACTTCTACTTGGAAATATGTCTTTAAGTGGCCAGCGCATTGACGGGACGCAGACAGTGTTGGGGCACTGATTTGCAGAACGGAGTCCCAGAGCCACATGGGTGTTAAGAGGTTGGAAAGTGAGCGGGTGGAAGCCACAAGGGTATAAAGTGAGATGACATAAAGATTGACATGCTTCAGTATAAATCCCGGAGCCAAAGGAAAATGAAAATGAATGTATTTCCTCTAATTAGCTTCGGATATACATTTTTGATTAGCTTCAAATATACATTTTTGATGAGACATCCTGAATATTTTAAATAAACTCTCTTGTGTTCTTAGGTATATCCCACACAGGTGTGGGATTAAAATAAACGCATTTGATGTACTGTAACACTCCTGTCCATACAGGCCAGGAGAGGGCAGCATGCAAACTCTGAAAAAGTGATTTGCTACCTCCTCTTGACCATGAGGAAGACTCCAGTCTCCAAATGGCTAAAAAATGTCTCTCCAACTTGAAGTACCCTCTTCCCTTTGGAGTACCAACTCTAGAACCTTAGTAAAGGCACACCATCCAGAAAGGTTCGTTTCTATTTTGGCCTCCAAAATTGGTGCTACCTGGCAAAATCAGAAAAGTAGCAGCGTATTTCACAGTGAGCTCAATTTCCCTTTCTTTTAGTTAGCTTTACCCTTTGATCCTATTCAAGCAGTCTTGATCTTGAATCTGTTAGGAGTTGGGTGAGAGAAAGGGAAAGAGAATGCAGGGAAAAGAGGACAAGAAAGAAGGGGGTTTCTCAAGTTGGTTCTCCAGGGGAAATGTTTATGAGCTGCTTTCTCAGTAGACCCAGCCTTTGTTTTAAGCATATCTCAAATACAAGTTCAGAGCCACAAGGATCCATTTTGTCCACTGACAATCAGAATCCTAGCAAATTTGGTTTCAAAACAAAAGAACTGGAATAGCTTCTCTTGGTTGTACCCAGAATCTAAAAGACATATGCTGACTGGGCGCGGTGGCTCACCCCTCTAATCCCAGCACTTTGGGAGGCCAAGGTGGGCAGATCACCTGAGGTCAGGAGTTCAAGACCAGCCTGGCCGACATGGTGAAACGCCATCACTACAAAACTACAAAAATTAGCCGGGCATGAGAGCAGGTGCCTATAATCCCAGCTACTGAGGAGGCTGAGGCAGGAGAATCGCTTGAACTCAAGAGGCGGAGGTTGCAGTGAGCCAAGATCGTGCCATTGCACTCCAGCCTGGGCGACAGAGCAAGACTCCATCTCAAAAAATAAAAAAATAGAAATAAAAATAAAATAAATAAAAGACATAGGCTAAAAAATAAGAATTATGTATCCACCTCTTAGAGGTTCAAAAACGATTAAAAGTAGTCAATCATAAACCTAGCCTAACTTTTTTTTTTTTGGAGACAGGGTCTCACTTTGTCCTCCAGGCTGGAGTGCAGTGGCACTATCTCAGCTCGTTGCAGTCTTGACCTCCTGGGATCAAGGGATCCTCCCACCTCAACTTCTCCAGTAGCTGTGACCACATGCTCATGCCACCATGCCTGGCTAATTTTTGTATTTTTTGTAGAGACAGGGTTTCACCACATTGCCCAGGCTGGTCTCAAACTCTTGGTCTCAAATCTACCTGCCTTGGCCTCCCAAAGTGCTAGGATTATTGCAGGTGTGAGCCACCATGCCCAGCAAGTTAAAACTTTTTAAAGCTCGTGGCTAATCGGTTGTATCCTTGTGCAGTTGCTACCATCAGAGATGAGTCATCTTCTAGGGACAAACTATAATTGCACATAGAAGAGAGAAATAGTCACTCTTAAAGTGGGTGTCCTGTGACTGGCAGTGATGACTTCCAAATGGTTCATCACAATTTCGCTAGGCCGGAGATGTTAGTTTCAGGAGCAACCTTGTCTCTTTACTGTCGTTGGTTCAGCTGCTGCACAACTCACTACTACATATGAGGGACCTAGGAGGAAGCTCAGAGAGGGGCTTTTTAAACATCTGAGAGGGCCAGAGTAAAAGCATTCTGGAGGAAAACGCTGTGGCTACTCCTGAGAGAGCGGAAGGCAAGAGAGATGTTGGGCTGGGGATGGACGCATTGGGGCAAGGATGTAAAGACATCTGTGTGGGGAAAGAGTGATTCTGCTGCTTGGGTGCGGAGGATTCCAGGAGGCTCAAGAGGCTGTGCCCATCGAGGGCTCAGCAGCTCATGTGCATGTATGAGGACTTGAAAGCTCAGATCTCCACTTCTTTCCCGTGCCACCATACTCTGCTGGGAGGTGTGGTGGCCTTGAATCAAAGCAAAGGTTTTTTCAAGGACAAAGGCAAGATTCTTGGCATCTGGGAGGAGCAGGGAGGTCACTGTTTGTCTCCTCCGTTTTCAGCCAGATTAGCCTCTGCTGCACTTCCATGTGCTGCCTAGAAGTAC